ACCCTGTCCCTCATTCCAAGTTTTCATGCCATTAGGGAGATATAATTCCTCCAATGAGTTCAGCATCTGCCCAAAAATGGAGATCTATTCCCTCCATTGTGTTCAGGCTCAGTCCCGGGATGGAGATATATTACCTCCAGTGTGTTCAGGCTCAGTCCCGGGATGGAGATATATTCCCTCCAGTGTGTTCAGGGTCAGTCCCGGGATGGAGGTATATTCCCTCCAGTGTGTTCAGGGTCAGTCCCGGGATGGAGATATAATCCCTCCAGTGTGTTCAGGGTCAGTCCCGGGATGGAGATATATATACCTCCAGTGTGTTCAGGGTCAGTCCCGGGATGGAGATACATTCCCTCCAGTGTGCTCAGGGTCAGTCCCGGGATGGAGATGCATTCCCTCCAGTGCGCTCAGGGTCAGTCCCGGGATGGAGGTGTATTACCTCCAGTGTGTTCAGGTTCAGTCCCGGGATGGAGATATATTACCTCCAGTGTGTTCAGGGTCAGTCCCGGGATGGAGATACATTCCCTCCAGTGTGCTCAGGGTCAGTCCCGGGATGGAGATACATTCCCTCCAGTGCGCTCAGGGTCAGTCCCGGGATGGAGGTGTATTACCTCCAGTGTGTTCAGGGTCAGTCCCGGGATGGAGATACATTCCCTCGAGTGCGCTCAGGGTCAGTCCCGGGATGGAGATACATTCCCTCGAGTGCGCTCAGGGTCAGTCCCGGGATGGAGGTGTATTACCTCCAGTGCGCTCAGGGTCAGTCCCGGGATGGAGATACATTCCCTCCAGTGTGCTCAGGATCAGTCCCGGATGGAGGTATATTCCCTCCAGTGTGTTCAGGGTCAGTCCCGGGATGGAGGTGTATTACCTCCAGTGTGTTCAGGTTCAGTCCCGGGATGGAGGTGTATTACCTCCAGTGTGCTCAGGGTCAGTCCCGGGATGGAGATACATTCCCTCCAGTGTGCTCAGGGTCAGTCCCGGGATGGAGATACAGTCCCTCCAGTGTGCTCAGGGTCAGTCCCGGGATGGAGATACAGTCCCTCCAGTGTGCTCAGGGTCAGTCCCGGGATGGAGATACAGTCCCTCCAGTGTGCTCAGGGTCAGTCCCGGGATGGAGATATATTCCCTCCAGTTGTGTCCAGTAAAATTTAGATGTCTCAGAATCTTCCCACAATTGGATGTGCCTGGGCAGCTGTGGCTGGATCCTCCCAGAAGGCCTCTATGTATATATTCCTCCTTTCTTTTCTGTTTGGTCCTCTACATTTAGAAGGAACCATGGCTCTATTCTGAGGTTACCAACTTTCATCCTGTCCTGGTGAATGAACTCAGCAACTTAAAGTAACACAATCTCTGCTGATGACCCTCAGAATGTTCTTTTAAGTAATTTAGTTCATCATGATGTATATCAAAATTATCACTCTAAAAGACTTTCCCGGGAATATGTTTTGCTGTGTTACAGCCCCACCAGATGATGAAGCCTCCCCGTCCTCTCTGGTTCTCATCGAGAACGTCAAGAACAGCCACACTCCTGAGATGTTAAACCTCCTGGTGGAGAATGCCAGTGAGAAGGTTGAAGACACAGACTTCTATGTGGAGATAATTCCGGAGATCCAATCTGCTGTTGTCACCTTCACATGTGATATTGGTGGGTCCAGTTTTTATGATTTGCCCTTCATTAAGATACTGAGCTTGGAGTGAGGCTCACAGCTTATATTATTGGCCTACAAGCTCCAGCCAATGACCTTTGTAAGAACGTTGTTTGTCCAAAAATAGGGAACAGCAAAAGGGCAGTGTCTGTGGTTAGGTGCAGCATGCAGTCCAAACGTGTATTGAAGACAATACTCAACTTACAGACAGTCCAGTGGGAGAATGCCACACCAAGAATAAGTTCTGTGCAGTACGGAAATACAGCAGGTAAGAATGGACTGACTGCATCTGTCTCAGAGGGTGGAATGCAGCCTGGCTAGTTCAGTCATAGTTTAGAAGCCTGTGATGGAGTCTGGTCCCCAGCCTGTTCTTACTTGCCCGGAGCCTTTCTTTGCCGCTGATCACTTTCCCTGACAGACGGATGCTCCTTCCCTACACTAGCCACTTTGCGGATGCGTGCCAAAGTCTGTGGGCAAGGACTTACAAAGGCTCTACTTGCCCAAGATGCCTGCCAGAGGTCACATGCAGCATAGCCAACCTAAACATTGCCTCTGGGGACCAGAAAACCATAGAAAAACCAGGTTTCTCCGGACTTCCTGTCCGGCTGCAGTGTCGCTCCGGTCAAATGCCACCTACAGTGGAGGAAACAGACTGCACCTGCTGGAATCACTCAGGCTTCATGTTCACTAAGTTCACTCATAAGCCATTCAGCAGGGAGGCTCCCATTTTCAGTAACGTGATTACACAACTGTACTTACTGTATGCCATTAAACTGGAGGAAAATGTCCTGTTCTTTTTCTCCAGATATTCCGAGATTCATCACAACATTCTCCAGTAACCTCAGAGTGGTTCGCTTTCAAGCTGACGGCAAGGTCTCTGGAAGAATCCCGAAGTGTCAGGGTGGAGAATATACCGGAAAACATATCTGAGACGCATCTGGCAGATTTCTTTGAGAACCCAAAACAGGGAAGAGGAAGAGTAAAGGATATTTTAATGATATCTGAGGAAAGAGCAGCACTGATCACATTTCAGGACACGGCAGGTGAGTTCACAGAGGGCACAGAGCAGAACTTCATATGTTGGAAGTGCTTGTTGGTTGGTGCCACTTAGGAACAGCTCTGAATGGTTTGGCGTTGTTCCAAGCGCACATCAAGGAGGGATACAACCATCTGTGGTCAACATCAGAGTGTTCAAACAGTGCTCCAGTTTGATCATGAGTGGTTTGGGCCATGGGATTGGTTATGAACTGCCTTCATTTGACATAGATATCAACTTTTTTTATCAGTCAAATGATCTACTATGTAATATTCATTGTTGACCAACAGATTACAAAAACCTTTTTTGTTTTGTTCGCTTAAGAAACTTACTACTGCTGAAATGTATTTATTGATGGCCAATGTATTCAGCAGTACATTCTGGAGTACATAGGTCACTGAAATAGTCAGTTAGTAACTGCTGAGGTAACATGTTATTGAACTGGGTTTTGAAAGCCATGCAAACACAGGGAGGACATACATTATTCAGAATGAGCCCTGGGAAGAATGAACCCCCACACCTCTCCACTCCAAAGCCACTAAGCCACCATATTATTTGTGTCACCATTCAGAAAATAAATGATTTTTGGTCAACAACTTCAACAAACTAAATGTGAGTATTAGGTGAAGCATCTCGGTGAACCTTCTGCTTGTTTCCTTCTCTTCCAGATGTTAAAAGAGTTTTGAAGAAGGATCATGTGCTTTCCAAGAAAAAGATATCCGTATACCCTTACTACCCATTGTTGGATATTGCACTGTATGGGAAGGATGGACCTTGTATAGAAATACCAAAGCCTGTAGAGTTTAATATCAGTCCATACATACTGCAACATATCTGTAATAATGAAGGACTAAAGAACAACATAGATGTGAAGATGAAGAATAAACACTGTGAGATCAAATGGCCAGATCAAGACTGTCAGAATCCTGTCCTTCAACTCATCTTCCCTCCTACCTTGTCCACCCATCGCAGGTCTGTGGCAAAGATTGTACCGAAATGGAAGGAAGAGGTTTATAATGAATTCTCACTTCTCATAGGAAAGTTCAGCGTAGTAGAGTACAAAATGGATCAGTCGGTCTGGGAAGCTATTAGAGAACATGTCAGCAGCTCCACCTATGATGAAGTCCTCATCAAACCTGACTTTGGTTTAAAGAAAGTTTTCTTGGCTGGAATGTCCAAGGATGTTACAAAGATTGACCCGACATTCAGACAACTGGTAGAGGAAACCGTTAAACAAGTACAAAGAAAGCAACAAACCATGACTGAGACCCTACAGATGTCTCCAGCCTTCTATCAGATCATGTGCAACAGCGGCATAAAGAAGAAGATCCTGGACGAGGTTCCAGAGCTGAGGATTGACTATGATGTGCCAACAAGGAAGGCCCGTCTATCAGGACTGAGTAATGAATTGCTCACCGCCAAATATGAGATACTCAACATCAAGCAACAAATGAAAAGTAAATCCATCCAGATGAATCCACAGCTCATCCAGTTCCTGAAATCCACCGATAACGAGGAGCTGTCCTGTCTGCTCTTTGCACGTCACAACATTAACGCACTGCTGGAAATTGAGGATGACATTGTTAAACTGATGGCTCATTCCAAGGAAGACTTGACTGCGGCAGAAAAGCAAATTACGGAAAAACTGTTTCGTAGACAACTTTTAGTTAAAGACAAAAGACTTCTGAAATCTCCTGAGTGGAGAAGTCTCCAGTCACATCTGCTTCAGTCATTTAATGTAGAGAAAATCACAGTCCTGATAGAGGAATCTTCTTCTGGAATGGAGGACAACGTGGTCATCGCCGGCCTGACTTCAAATGTTCTAAAGTGTTGCCAACAAGTCAGCGACTTTCTGGAGAAGAACACTACTATGGAGACAGAAATTGGAGTTCAACCTTCAGCAAAGAGGATATTCATCTGGGAGGAAAGGAAGGAAATTTTGGAGAAGATGAAGGAAAATGTAAATGTAACAAAGAATCAGAACAGCATATGCCTGTCGGGCCCACGGGTGAAGGTTCAAGAGGCAGCACATGTAATTAGGGACATTCTGCACTCACTTCACAGTGATACTCTGCGTATTGAGAAACCAGGAGCCAAAAAGTTTTGTAAGGTCAATGAAGAAGTGCATGCTACAACCGCAAGGACAAACTTCCATTGTGTGATACGTTTAGAGGAGACTGGTGAAGAAGATAATTTATTTAGTAAATCCCAATTGCAAGTAGCTCTTTCTAATGGTTTGACCCTCTCTGTATATAAAGATGACCTGTGCCGTCACAACGTAGATGTCATTGTTAATGCAGCCAATGAAGATCTGAAACATAATGGGGGTTTGGCAAAAGCTATTCTGGATGCAGCAGGACGTAAACTCCAAGATGACTGCAATCAGATTATCAGGAAAGATGGAAAATTGTCCACTGGAGATTCAGTAATTACTGACGCAGGGAAATTGCCGTGCAAACAAATAATACATACAGTCGGTCCCCAATGGGATGTAAATTCACGCTCCAGATGTGAACGGCTTCTACGGAGGGCAATTACCACCAGTTTACAGCTGGCCTCCGAGAAGAGTCACAGTTCAATAGCGATTCCCGCTGTCAGTTCTGGTATTTTTGGATTTCCCCTAAAAATATGTGTTGAAAACATAGTGGAAGCTATACGGGACTACGTAGAGACGCCGGGACAACAGAGCACTTTACAGAGAATCCATCTTGTAGACACGAATGATGAAACCGTCAAGATTTTCTCTGAGGCTACAAAGGCCAAATTTGGTAACCAAAGGAGTGCTATGCCATCTACAGCAATGGCACCCCCAGCCGGTCACAAGAGCGGCACAGAACCCACCAGCACCGGTGAATAGAGGTAATGACAACACTGTGGTGACCAAGGAAGGACTGAAGATCAAGCTGCTTCAGAAGAACATTGAGGACTGTTCGGTATGTAGATTCACCAGCATTTCCTGCTAAAGTGGGACTCTGCCAAAGAGTTTTATGATTCAGATAGAGTTGGGAAGAGTTAGAACCTCTTATGTTTTTATTTCTGTCCATATTTGATGGTAGGAAGTAGGGGGGAATCTGGCCTACAGGGACACAGCAATAAAACATAAGAGAGGTTCTCACTGTTTCCAAATCTGTTTACATGCTGTGTCTTCTTTTGGATATTGTTTTCTCTAAATTGGACGTTAAGGGAATCTCCACAGCTGGACCCAGACAGCACAGGAAACCTGACAGAAAAGTTACTATCCCACTACTGTAAGGCCAAAATATAGTGCTGCTGTTACTGGATTCAGTAGATCCCTAGGGTTCTTCCGGAGGTCACTGGGGGGTTCTTTGATCGATGAACAATTTCTGCCTCTCAGATAAGTAACCACTGACACCAATGATCTTTTTAGCTATCTGTAAGGGGGATTCTTCCCAATGACCACCAATGTAAGGATTATATGTAAATATAGAAATTATTAGCTGGAGTTCCCTGAGACCTCACACTTATTGCAAGGATTCCTCCATAGAAAACGGTTGGAAAGGACTGATGTGGTATCATATACATGTGTACATTCATGCCCTAATAACAGTAGAAGGATAATAATCATCACATATCCATTATAATAAGTACCAATAGGTTTTTCATATTTTTGCTTCTCTTTCTTTCCAGATCTCAAACAAATCCGAATGATAAAGATTGTTATTGAAAATATTTCAAATTCAGACCACTTAACTCTTAGGAAATGTATTCTTTTAACTAATAGTCACTTGGTAATGCTTGTCATCTCTTCCCCTGGCAGACGGATGTCATTGTGAACAGTGTAGGAGCCGATCTGAACCTGAATATTGGTGCCGTATCCAAAGCCTTGCTGAGGCGGGCAGGATCCAATATGCAGCAACTCCTGAACAATGCGAATCTCGGCACTCTGGGGGCCCCAGGATCCGTGTTCAGCACCAGCAGCTGCAATCTCAACTGTCAAGAGGTTCTTCATGTTGTGGCTCCTCAATGGGACAGCGGACAAGGGACATCGGAAATGGTACCTTCAGGCCTGCAGAGTGTGGTGGGAAATATATTGAGGCTGCTTTACTAAAGAACTAAAGCCTTTAGGGAATTTTCACTTGGCTTAGTGAATGCGGTAAAATCTGTCTTTGCAAAGAATACCCAATCACATGCAAGGAAAAATAAAAAACTGGATTTTTGCTGGAACATGATTGGATGATTGAAGTCAGCACAACTTTACTTCATTCTGCTAAGTGAAAATTTCCTTGGAAAGTGAAAATTCATTGAATTGAAGGAATATTTTTCATGTGGATCTTTAAAAGGAAGTTGTAACGGAACCAGACCCCGTCTGCACTTGGGTATTCCCTGTCCGAACACAGACCAGACACCAGTCTTGGAAGGAAACCAGGAAATAGACTACTTTATTTTAACACAGATACAAGATATATACATTTAAGGGAACCATTTCCCCCCTCCCTGTATATTGACACAGGGTGGGGCAAACCACATCTAGCAACAAGAGACACATCAGCAGACCCCCCCCCCCCCCCCCCCCCCCCCCCCACCAAGCCAATACACAAACAAATACATCCCCCATAATAGTTTGCTCCCAAGCAAGACACACAATAGAACAATGGGATGCAACCACATGGCATTAAACAATGAACAACCCCCCCACCCCACCTATACATGTCTACACAATATCAGGACAGATCACCCTGTACCCCTAACAGGCACAGGGTGACTTACACATAAGAGGGATATGGGGAGCTGAGACGGGTCTCCCCACCTCTCCAGGTGAGCTTGGTTCTATGGGCCCCCCACGCAAAGTCACTACCGTCACAGAAGTCAAGCCACACCCAAGAGGGTCTAGCCCTTTACTACCACTATCTTCAGAAAAAAAGATTGTCTGAAGTTCCACTTTGTCTTTTATGAAGTAGATTTTCAATCCTGCCAATGGGGGCCACCTAGACACATATTTGGGCCATTTTGTGTTGAGATATCTTGCAGCACTGGGGTCTTCAGTTTGAATCCCAACCAGGACACTATTTGCATTGAGTTTGGTTTCCTCCAGGTATTCTGGTTTCCTTCTTCACTCTAAAGACATGCTGGTAGGTTAGTTGGCTCACCTGAGTGTACCCAAGATGGCTGCTTTTTCTCCTAAGCCCATTTTAGTCCCCAGGGAGAAAAGTAATATAGAATTTAGATTTAAAAATGTCATTTTCTTTATCTTGCCCAGAGTTACATGTCAATCTCAGACTCTCTATTTCAGATTCTTCGCACAATTATTAAAAACTGTTTGGCGCTGGCAGAGAAGAATCTGTGGAAGTCAATATCATTCCCAGCTATTGGAACTGGCAATCTTGGCTTTTCAAAGGATTTGGTTGCATTGGTGATGTTCGATGAGATTTTCCAGTTTAGCCACAAAAACAAAGTACAAAGTCTTCAAGAAGTTCATTTGGTTATTCACCCCAGTGACAGGGACACCTTCAAGGTAACGGAGACTTCATGTTTATAGTGATGCTCTTGGTCAAGAGGTTGAATATTCCCACATGGCCATCGGGGTGGTGAGGTGTCCAGTTCCTCGTCTCCAGCTGGCATAAAGCCATCAATAGGTGCATGGAGATGGTGCTGTGCAGGACCTATAAGGAGAGTTCCATTTGAATAACAAAGGGATGAGGAGTTCCGGCCTTGCATTCTGCAGCAATGTCAGTTGAGATTCTGGGCTGTCTAGGTGGGGAAGGATTAACTATGGGTCTGCCAGCTTCCTGGGCTTTTTCTAGGCTTGCCTCCATTTGTGATACATAAAAGGGGAAAGGCTCGGTCCAGGGGTAGACAGGAGGACCACATGGGGGAAGGTTACGGTCCACACAAGAAGATGTAGCCTGCATTAACCAGTGAGTGTTTCCACAAAGGATCCTACCAATAATGGGACCCTCCAGAAATGGACTTCTAACTGTTGAGGTATTCCTGGGCAGCCTAGGAATGTTAGTTACATAGTTACATGGTTAGTCTGGTTGAAAAAAGGCACAATTCCATCTGGTTCAAACCATAAAAGGGAAAAATGTATAATCCTATACCCACAGTTGATTCAGAGGAAGGCACAAATTCCCAACAAAGCATGATCCAAACTGCAGGGGAAACAAATCCTTTCCTGAACCTGAAGAGGCAATCGCAGATTAAATGTTAGTATCCAAGTATGCATATTGCCTAAAGTCTTGGGACGCCGGCCTTTACACGCACATGAACTTTATTGGCCCCCCAGTCTCAGTCCGTAGGGTTCAATATTGAGTTGGCCCCGCCCTTTCCACGCACATGACCTTTAATGGCCCCCCAGTCTCAGTCCGTAGGGTTCAATATTGAGTTGGCCCCGCCCTTTCCACACACATGACCTTTAATGGCCTCCCAGTCTTAGTCCGTAGGGTTCAATATTGAGTTGGCCCCGCCCTTTGCAGCTATAACAGCTTCAACTCTTCTGGGAAGGCCGTCCACAAGGTTTAGGAGGGTGTCTATGGGAAGGTTGGACCATTCTTCCAGAAGCACATTTGTCAGGTCAGGCACTGATGTCGGGGGAGGAGGCCTGGCTCGCAGTCTCCGCTCTAATTCATCCCAAAGGTGTTCTATGGGGTTGAGGTCAGGACTCTGTGCAGGACAGTCGAGTTCCTCCACCCCAAACTGGCTCCTCCATGTCTTTATGGACCTTGCTTTGTGCAGTCATGTTGGAAAGGAAGGGGACATCCCCAAACTCTTCCCACAAAGTTGGGAGCATGAAATTGTCCAAAATGTCTTGGTATTCTGACGCTTTAAGAGTTCTTTTACTGGAGCTAAGGGGCCGAGCCCAACTGCTGAAAAACAACCCCACACCATAATCCCCCCTCCGTCAAACTTTACACTTGGCAGAATGCAGTCAGGCAAGTACTGTTCTCCTGGCAACTGCCAAACCCAGACACGTCCATCAGATTGCCAGACAGAGAAGCTTGATTGGTCACTCCAGAGAACATATCTCCACTGCTCTAGAGTCCAGTGGCGGCGTGCTTTACACCAATGCACCCGACACGTCCATCAGATTGCCAGACAGAGAAGCTTGATTGGTCACTCCAGAGAACACATCTCCACTGCTCTAGAGTCCAGTGGCAGCGTGCTTTACACCAATGCACCCGACGCTTTGCATTGCACTTGGTGATGGAAGGCTTGGATGCAGCTGCTCGGCCATGGAAACCCATTCCATGAAGCTCTCTACGCACTTGTAGTGCAGAGCATCAAGTGGTCTCAGGCATTAGTAAGCACGTACACCAAGGGAGGAGGAGTAAAAAGAGTAAAGACCCCATATGCACCATAACCTCAGTTCCAAAGTCACCTTAGATGTGTCTCAGATATTTGCTTCTTGCTGTATACTGGACATTTTCTTGTGTTTTGTATTTACAGGCATTTACAAGTCAATGGGAAGACTTCAAAGATGCTGCCACTAGTGTGGTCACCATCAGGCAATCAGCTGGGACTGGATCAAGTACGTTTTATATAATATGAATCTATGTCTGCTATAGGGAGTTTATTCCTCAGAACTATTCCACAGATAACATACAACGGAAGCTTCATATCAGATTCTAATTTAATATATACAGTATGACCAAAAGTCTGTGGACACCTGACCATCACACCTATATGAGCTTGTTGAACATTCCTTTCCAAAATCATGGCCAATAATATAGAGTTGTACACCCCCCTTCCCCTCGCGGTCTCCACTCTTCTGGTTAGACTTTCCACATGATTTTGGAGAATGTTTGTTGGAATTTGCCCCCATTTGTGAGGTCAGGTACTGATGTTGGATGAGAAGACCTGGCTCACCATCGGCATTCCAAGCCATCTCAATGAGTTGAGGTAAGGGTTCTATACATGACACTCGAGTTTCTCCACACCATCCTGGTCATCCATGTCTTTATGGAGCTGGCTTTGTACTTGGGGGCACAGTCATGGGGGAACAGAAAAGGGTCTTCACCAAGCTGTCAGAACAAGGTTGGAAGAGCATAATTGTCTACAATGTCTTTTTATGATGGAGGTTTACCAGGACCCTTCACTGGAGACAGCTGAACGCCATCATTTGGAAGGGGGTCTACATAATTTTGGCTTTACTGTGTATTCTAGTGGATGTGTAATTTTGGAGTGGGATTTTATTAGTGTGTAATTTTAAGAACCTGTAAGAAATATAACTAGTTTTATATTATATAATCTGTCCAGGATACAAGACGAGGATAATGTTGAATGGAGAGGCATGTATGGAAAAGGAGGAGGATGATAGAGGGAAGGAGAGTGCAGATGGATCAGGACGACGATGACCGTGGAAAATGGGGAAGGATATTGCAGAAGGATGACAACAGAAGGAAGGGGATTGGGTATGGATGGGAAGAGGTGATGACCAAGGAGAAAAAGGTTGATGACAGATGGGAGGATAGTGGGGGTGGATGAATGGATGGAAAAGGAGCAGGAGGAGAGTGAAGGAAAGTGGGGATGGATGGAAGAGGAGGATGAGAATATTATACAGGATGATCAGTTATCTTGGTATCTGATTCTGGAGATTTCAACTTTCTGCAGTTGCCAGGCCATCGTGTTAATCTTTCCATGCACAGCTGATCATCAGTGGTGGGGACATGGGTTTCTTTTATCCCCTATTGTTCTTATCATCCCTTTCCTTTCTGTCTTGCAGCATTCTTTAGGACTGTAACAAACCCATCACTCGGTGTTCATGAAATGAAGATTGGTTCTATCACTTTTCAGGTGAAAATCGGCAATATAACCACAGAGGAGACCGAAGTCATTGTAAATTCTTCCAACCAAAACTTCACGCTGTGTACAGGTAATTCATTCTGACCCCAAAAATCCAAATATCAGATTATACACCGTTCAGCCACACAACAGCCCTGACCCATCGAGGCATTGGCTCCATTAGACCTCTGAAGGTATGTTGTGATATCTGGCACCAAGCTGTCAGTATCAGATCCTTTAGGTCCTGTAAGTTGTGTGGTG